CTATGCTTTTCGTGAGAGGTGGTTGGCCAGGCTCGCTGACTTGTTTGATGCATGTCATCGTATCCCAATTGCGTTGATCGATGATGTCTGTCATTGATTGTCTGGTCCAGACTCGATTTTTTACATACCAGAATATACCTGGAATATTGCTGAGCACAGCGTTAAACAACAAACAAACGACATGTCAGAAAGGTCTTTTATTTAATTATTTCTTTCCCATAACATGTTCATGAGTACTAGTTATTATAAAAACACATTTTGACGTTATATATAAGAAATGTTGGCCTTCATCACACTCCGTACTGAGGTTACTCTCCAAGTGGGTTCGTAATGGCTATTATGAAGAAAATGCCCTTTCACTTATCCGTCCCTTTATTCTTAGTTTATTTCTCAATTTCAAATTCTCTCCGATTGACTGTCACATGTAGAAAACATTTTGTTTCACTGAGCCCCTAAAATATTCAATAAATAATTCAAACTAAAATTACATAATATGCTGCATACATAGTTTACCATGTTTACTGAAACAATATTCAAATGAACACAACACACGAAAAATGTGTACACTATACTATGGAATAAATGAAAATATTTATGCTTATTTATCATAAATATTCATAAATATTCCTGACAAAATATTAGCCACAGCTATAGTTAAAACAACATACCATTTCGTTAGGCCCATTTCACACCGTGTTTTCTCACACTTTGTCTCACTCATCAGGCATGTTGCCTCAAAGCACATTGTTCAACTGGTTCACAAACCAGAGTAACGTCCCTTTGCGTATGCAAGACATTTCACTCCTTAAATATCCGTATCTTGCTCTTACAATGGCCGTCCTATCGAAAATCGTATTGGAAACTCCAGGCGTCATGATGTGCTCAGTCCATGTGATACAAGTATCAGTGTTCACAGTATGGTACATGAGGAAGCTAATCTGGTCCACACTGAGTCATCAAAACTAAACACGTAAACACCTTGGTCAGAAGCAATAAACACACGGTCACGTCCGTTTACACAGATTCCACCTGGCATGGTAATATGATATGACCTAAGAATGTTTCTGACAAACTGTCCTGACTCCGTCAGATGGATGACTCTGTTTAGAGAGTAGTCTGTCACCAGGATGTCACCTGTGCTGGTACTTGTGATACCCAGGGGACCCTTCAGTGTTGTGTCTCCTGTCGGGCTGTAGGTGAACACCACATCTCCCTCGGGGGTCAAACACACGACACACTCGGTTCCACAGTCAGACACCAGGATGTTTCCTGTCCTCGTAGTACAGAGGAAGTTTGGATATTGAAAGATCTTGCTACCATAGTGGCGTGGACTGATTGACCTCAGCACGTTTCCAGTCATATCTAGGATATCAACACAGGGGGGAGACCGGGAACTAGCTGCTAGTGTTGATGGCGTCAGGGACGTTATGCCAAAGTACTGTTTGCTGGTTGTGATGGTTGACAGCAGCACCAGGTCAGGGTTGACTTCTACTGTTACGATCTGTTTGATGCTCAGGACAGTGACGGCCACCTGGTTGTGTGTCAACTTTGTCAGACTCCATGGTTGATCACCCAGACTGAGTTTACTATGACGTGTCTGGTTATTCCTGGTGAAGAAGGACTTCACACTCTCGTTGCTGCAATCTTCGACTACAACCGTATCTGTGCCATTCTCTACAACCACTGTCACGTCAATGGGAAATGGCACGTTACGGTCGCCTTCTACTGTGTCGTCAATGGTGTCCTGTAACACAGGGATAGCCTTCAGGTCCAGCACACCCTCATACAGGACCTCTATCTCACCCAGCTGTAGATCGTCCAGAGTTCTCCTCAGCTTGTCTGTGTCCTGTGTGAATGTGACCTTGGTTATTCTTCCTCTCTCCTTCACATCTGCGTCTCCGACAGCCTCCACATCACCCGCCTCTGATCCCTGATACATCTCATGCACATCCATGTCACACTCAGATTGTAGAGCCTGGTCTATCAGCTCAGCCTGTTGTTGGTACATCTGTACTGACATCTCCCCTGACTTAATGTCTGCTTTCAGTTGTTTGATGTGCTTGTCTGACATCTCTTTCAGTTCTTTCAGCAGTTTTCTTTCCTTCACCTTGATCTTTTCTGTGGCCTTCTTGCTCGTGGTCGTGATGCTGGATACAATTTCGGAATATCGTACAGTTTCCTCATCCACTTTCAACTCTTGTTTCTGCACCAGTGTTTCAATCCTATTTCGCTGCTTTAGGAAATCCTCTTTGGTCTTTGTCAATTTGGTTTTCATTGCAGGTATCTTTGACTCGATCGTGACAACTGAGTTACATCTTCTGTGGTAGAGGGTGCAACATTTGTGACAGGTTGCCAATTTACAATCTTCACAGAGCAGCTCTATGCATTCTTCCTTGTGTTCCCTGCACATGACCTTTCGCTTCCTCTTGACCTTGACCTCCCCTGACAGGTCATCGACGTCATGGTGTCGGGAGGATGGATTACGTCTGTGTATACGGGCACACCGCTCGCATAGTGCATCATCGCAGACAGAGCACCAAACAACAGCAGGAGTTGTCTCCCCTTCCTCTCTACAATAACTGCAGTTGGTAGTGTCTGGAAAAAAACATCCGTTCCATTATATTTTACTTATAAATGGACTTTAGTGTCGATAACTTGAAGCACAACATATCATGAATCAATGAACATGTATATATAATCAAACAACCATATTTTATCAGTGGATTGGACAAGGGATCTTTTATTCTTATTGTCATCTTTCATCCACCATGTATCAGAAATGATATGATTAAGATGTATGGAACCCTGCCTTGGGAAGATTACCTCATAAGGGCCTCTCCCTCCAACATAACCTGTTATACTACATATATATTGGTATTCAGTCTGTATTCATCGTATTCAATACTTTACATGACTGCCTCTACAGCTACACATATCCTGCTAGTTGACGGTTATCTCCTGAAACAGCAGATGTAAATTATGTACATCTGGTCAGTTGTTCAGGAGCCTTGATAGCTTTGGAACGGAGATTTTTCTGTGACGACTTCCCCAGTGAATAAGAGCAGTTGTTCGTTGAAGCTGGACCGTGGTTCATAGATTTTGGCAGATGTAAAACTAAAAGTATCCCTCGGCGTATCAGAGCCTTGACGTCTATTTCAAAGTAAATATGCTTTCAAAATGTGTTCCATTCAGTAAATAATATTGTGTGTGTAATAGAAACCGGTATTCATATCGTTGAACTTGGTGGATTCGTGAGAAAACTACAGCAGTTATTTGTTAACGTGAGACTGTGATTTATAGATTTTTGGTCGAGTAAAAGTAATGGTACATCTGACCTCTACAAAGTTGCTCATCTGACCTCTGACTTATTTCAAAGTTGCTCATCTGACCTCTGACCTATTTCAAAGGAAATATGCTTATACGCGTTTGTGTAGAGGGTGAGCGGTAGAATCATAGCGTTAAAGTTCGTAGCATTTATAGGCCCACATCCCACCACACCACACCCCAACCCACCTCACCCTCCACGACAGGTGAGATACATACCTCCAGCACCAACACTAACACAGCCCTCCCCACCCCACACACCCTCCACCACATGTATGACACATGCCCAAGGCACCACCACTAACACACACACCCATCCCCATCCCCTCACACACACACACACACACACACACACACACACACACACACACACACACACACACACACACACACACACACACACTCGACGACATATGAGATACATACCTTTGGAGCCAGGACCAAACGAGTCCAAGAGTCCTTGGATGACAAAGATAGGCTTGACGTCATCCGCCCACTCCTCCACTGGTCTCTCAGGGGCAGACACTTTCGTCATCTTGTTGCATAAGGGACAGAGGAGGGACTTAGCACTGATGGCTTCTGGTCTGGTTTTGGTATAGATGACGATACATTTTCTACAGAAGGTGTGATTACACACAAGTGTACAGGGATTATCAAACACCTCTGTGCATATTGTACAGGTCAGGAAATGTTCAGTCAGCTTCTGAGAGGTCGCCATCTGAAAGAGGCCAAGAACCATTGAAGTCCTTATCACTACATCCGTTGAATTAAACACGCCTATCAAAATATACCATGGAAACGAAGGTATTCGGCAAATAAAACAACACTCGGTTAAAAGGAAATGCGCTGTATAATTCCCTTACAAAATAGGTTTCCTGTGGTGAAAATGATTTGCATGTTTATTCATATGAAGTCGTCTAGGTATGAAAATATCTGAACTTTAAACTTGATTGTTTAGTGGAACATGGGTGGCCCAGTCGTGTAAGGTGCCGCAATTCGCCGTGCACTGAGTTGCGTCCCTTATGTCGTATGATCGTAGGAATCCCAGGTTGGTCCTGAGTGTGTCTGTCTGCAACATTGCCTTGATCACGGGTTTGGTGAACGTCTTTAACATGCGTAACTTCAGGATTTTCTCCCACAGAAGCTGACATTTGTTGATATAACTGTGATAATATTGTATACTGTCTCAGTCTTGTCGTCTGAACCTCAGATGCAATCTACACCAAGGCGTGCCTGACGGTGATGTGGAAACAAAATCGAGCGTGTCGCTGGACGCAGAACCGTGAGTTGTGCTCCCTCAACCTATTGCTTACGGATATGCCACTACTTAATCTCAAACCAGGTATTGTCCGTGTTCTTAATGGGGCAGTTTGGTGTCGATTCCTTAGATGCACCAACCGAATGTAGTGTCGTGTTGAGGACAACCGGCCCGTGGCAAGTCACGAGTGTTGCCCTACTGTAGATAACGTCTCAAACGAGTTGATATTGACTTGCGATTGACATTAAAATATCTGGCAACTTCGTTTGGCTTCTTTCCTGTTTGCAGCATACACACAGCCTGTAGACGTTGATTTTCAGCAAGACGTGGCATTGCGTAAGTGTTATTTACGTTTGAGCAAATGTGTTTTTATGACCACCCGATAGCTATACAATCAGTATGAGCTGTTAAAATTTTAAAAAAAACACTTGTGTAAGTGTAATACTCCCAACAAAGAGGGAAACATCCCAAATTGTACGCAGTGCTTAACATGCAAGTGCAAATTGTGAATCACGACAATCATGAGTATGTGTTGAAAGATGCGATATGTAATTTCAGAATAAAACTATTTCTACTGAACTTTATGAAGCACATTTACTTTTTTCCGTCAGTATACATTCAACCATTACATTGTAAAAATCTTGCATTCTGCTGGCGTCTGCAGCCGTATGGATAATAAGTAAAGCAAACCCTCAAACCCGACGGCCAGGCAATTTCAAACATTGTTTCTACGCCAGTCAGTAAAATATCAGAGTTATATCCTGGAGATCTATTCATTCTGGATCAGACAGTGGTTGATATAATGAGCAACGACGTCGGGGTACGGTGACGCAGACACTGAGTCTGACCACCCAATCCATTCAATCGCATGTTACAAGAAGCATGGGTTGCTGGGGATCAGTTGTACCCGGAACCGTTGTGACGATGTCTATTCGACAGATAACCCCACGAAAAACAGCATTACTATAGGATGGTATACAGAGAGCTACATCTATTTCATGTCTTCAGTATCAATTGAACTTGTTTGTGGGACCGTTACAATAGTCCAAGCAAGGCATAGATGATCTTTTACCTGATATATGAGTCATTTAGTATCAAGGTGATTATCAATAAAGATGTTTTGCACGAAGATTTGATTCCTGTAAATTCCAATTGTTCAGTTATAAATACAGCAGGTTTCGGTTTGAACTCTTCGCTTGGCCAAACAAATAGTTTCACTACATTACATGCACTAACAAACATTTCATGGTAGTATATACGTTCCCATGGTATTTGTATTACCACTCAGACGTCGTGTTTCAACCAGAACAATGATTAACCCGCTATCATGACCCAGTTATTCTATACCCATAACTGAAGTAGGAGAGGTTTAACTTCCGGGTTTGCCATGTACCCCACAGACGTGTACACAGACATCGCCACTGTCACTGCTATCAAGGTGGCATGGCCTGATGCAGTTGACAAGATACACATGTGCCAAACTGCAGGCATATATCAAGAAAGGTGTTTACCCAATATGAAGTCAACTCAGGGTGTAATGTGTGTAGCACATATCGGCGTCACTTAAGTTAGATCGCATTCACATTACAAATCAAATCGCAGACATATATACACACTGAATATCTAGCACCAGCCAGGAAAACACGAGGCAAATACACATCCATGCAACATTACCTTGCTGGTGACAAGAGTCTGGTGAACATAGCCCGAGAACTGAGTGAATATCTCGAAGTTTCACCTGGACACAATGACAACCTGTGTGATCCCCGCTAGTTGTGTGGGTGTGCAGAAAGTACGAAGTCCATGACATGTAGATGTGCGTCGGCAGTCAGTGGTTATCTTGGGTCAACAGTTTGTTCAAGGGTTATTAAAAAGGATAAGAATTGAGCATATTTTTTACATCATGCCAGTCAAACATGAATTTATACTAAATCTGAATAATCGATCTTTCAGCACCGATTTTCCAGTGTTACGTGTTATGTATGTGTTATATTCTAAAATTCCAGGTATTGGTTCTGGTCAGAATCACATTTTATTAATTAATTCTATAATTGTAACTAATTTAGCTTTCATTGTGATTTTGGATAAACAGATAATCTTCTTCAAAACCCGGAACCTTTGAACCATATCATTGTTATCAAGGTGGCATGAGCTAGTGTAGATGACAAGAAATCCCATATCTCGAGATGTATAAATGTGATAAATACTTATCTGGTCCTATTTATCATGCGTGCATGCATGCTCTGAACGAAGGTCTCTATTAAAGAGAGCTGCTGTCTGGTTTACAGATGGGCTAAGACTGCTTGCACATCACAAGAAACGTGTTCACCCAATATGAAGTCAACCTATGGTGTAATGTGTACAATCTAAGATATAACATTGTGAGAATATGTCCACAGCTCTGACCGGGACTATCCTTGTTAATAGATGTCGATACATAATCTTGTGTATGTATCTCTATATAATAATGATATTTTGCCTTATTTATAGTGCCAGTTCCTAAGGCCAAAATATGTTACACAAGATGCATTCAGACATTATCTGTAAGAAGAATCCTAAGTCTGATGTATAAACTGATATCATAAGTGTCTAATGTATTACCTAAAATCATAGTGAGTGAGTTGTGTTTAACGCCGCTTTAAACAGTATTCCAGTTTTATCACAGCTCGACAGCTTAATGTGGGAGGAAAGCCCCAAGTGATACAGGTCTCAGACGTTTACCACTTCGGTCAAACCCACGAGCATGAGTATGGTGCTGACAAACCGACAAACAAAATCGAGGCGAACCAGGATTCGAACCCCCAATCATGAGTTGCTGGCGTGCCCAAGGGACGCAAATCTGCACAACGAATAGCAGCGCCTTAGACGACTGGGCCGGCCACCCGTGACCCCCCTAAAATCATAAGTGACTGATCCGATCTATAGTACTTGAATCCTGTCACTTCTTCAGATGGAAAGTATTCCCTTATTGCAGTTACCACACATGATTGTACAGGACGACGATCATGTTTTATTAGCCTTCCATGGATCCATCTTGTAAATCGGCGGTATGCCACATAGCGATACGTTCTGTAAATTGAAAGGTTTTCTTCGATCTTGAAATGAGCAGTGTACATGACTAGTCTTCTTAATCGGGATTTGAACTTGTATAATATTGTAACCATACCGAAATAATTATCTTCAGATGTCAAAATTCATTGCTACTCGATCTTTGTTATTATGGCCAGCACCTCTTTGTGAAGTTTGTGTTCACGTTGTATTAATTGAGCACTTTTGTATGTTAAAAGATGGTATGCAAATAAATTATTCTCACCTTCAATTTTGTGCTAGTTATTCCTTTACTTGATCGTAGGTCTTTAATTGGAACTGATCACACTTTTTTCACTCGCTGACAGTTTAGAAGAATATCTGATGCAGCACAATGATAAGGAAATGTCAATATTAATCTATGCAGCCGTATTTACTATGGTTATAGTTTTAAGCAGCAGTAAAGAAGTAACCTACTTGAATTGGTTTGTTATCGTCTTGTGGGCCTGCAAAGCTGACTAATTCCAGGAACGCCAACTGTAGGACTGTATGTTGGTGAAATTGACTGAGAATCCTTCATGTTGAGTTTTCCATTTTCTCTCTCGCCCCAGCAGAAAATGCCAGTATTTGGACTCAGTTCGGGTGACATGGCCATGCTGTTGCCACACTCACACCTATCAACAAAATTATGATCTAGCTAATAATATGCAAACCTATAATTTTGTCGTGGTACAGTTCCCTTAAAATAACAGTATTATTTTATTTTTGAAATTCACACTTAAAGTTCATAACTATTTTACATTTTATGTATCCCTATATTGTAAATTTATATTCCACAATAAGTATCACAACAGCTTACCGATCTTTTAGACTTCTATGGAAATTGAAAATGTAATAAAATTGAACTTCGATGCACTATAACCATGCTTTTCCTCCGAAAACATGGATATTCTACACTAACGAATTTATGGCATGTGTATTGACTGACATAATGTTATTTCACAGAAAAGTTTATCTCCGTATTCGAACCTTCTCTTGGGTACATAAGAAGTGATATAACACATGCAATTATGCAGGTCTTAAAGATCTTAGAATCATTTACTTGTATCTTGCAGTTTGATCATTTACTGTGCAATACAGAAGTGGCTTAGCATATTGGCCTAACATTACAGTAATTATTACTGCATTTGTTACCGTGACAGCTGAAACATTGATTATCTAATCTGTTTTCAGGAAAATTTGGTACACAAGTGACTAGCATGCCAATGTGTATGAGGCATATCAGTTCCCATGGTTAAATACACACCTTCACCTTCATAGAGGGTGTAGGTACATTGTCATAGTAAACATTCAGATTTGGAAATGATGTGTGACCACCGAAATGTCAGTTTAATAATGTGTTGAAGTGGATCCTACCACTGCTAAGGAACGCGTGTCTGCACAGCTGCACCTCATGTACCCAGGTGTCAATATATTCCGGCAACGTGATGCAGTCACGTGCTGGGGGCATGTTGTCACTTGTGTTTCAATCCTTGCCAAATGTCAAGCTGTCAGATTTTAACTAAAAGTATGACGTGTTAGCTCACCTGAATGACAGTCAGTGTTTTGCCATATTGTGAATTTTGACCTCCCTTTTACTTTTGTACTAAATTCTCTCAAAATGTGATTTCCCGCACTGTAGACCTCATGTCCTCAGATACAAGTTGACAGAGAAGCTGCCATGGCCGCTTTGTTGAAAACATGTATTGCTACTGCTCAAAATGTAATGGGATCCTCCTAAATCCTCCTTGCTAACATGTTAAGCTGTTGACTACATATCCAGGTGAGCTAAATATCAGGTGAGCTACAAACCAGGTGAGCTGGAGAGCATGGCATTCTTTTCAACTAAATCGTCACCGTGTCTTAATACAAAACATTGATGCTGACATATTTCTGTGTCAGTGTTGCACATATACAGAAACAGTTCCAAATCTGCAGGATGAGTCAAGATGTGAATTCTCTCCCCTAACAGATGACATTGTGTCTTTGTGTCCCTTGAGGACATCTCTAACAAGGGGTACTGTAATACAATATAGTGTATGCAGTCGTGCTTCAAGACCATGCTGTTGCTGTGTAGTCCATTATTTTATTGGGAGGTCCATTACTTTATTGGGAGGTCCATGATAATATTGGTAGGTAGTAGAAGAACACAACACTTTCATGAAATAAATATTTGAATGCAATAGTACCAGCTTTGTTGATACTCCACCAGGTTACACACCAGTCCAGTAATGGCTGCCTACCATGTGTAGCTGAAGTTTACTGACATAGGACTTTTAGGCAAGAAGCAGGCATCGCAATGGGCACCCATTGTGCTCCCCTTCTTAGCCAAAGAAGTTTGATTTCAGCTTCAGGTAGAACGGTGATCTGATATCGTTCAATAACGGCCAATTCGCCTTCCTATCCATTAGTTTATCCATCGGAGCAACAAATAAAGGAGACCATGCCATGGCATCTGTTGACATGCCAAACTTCAACTCGACCATCTTGTGTCCTGTAAATTAACTTTCAGGGCAGCGTAATGATAGCCATCGAGGATATTCAACGGATGAATGGAATCTCGTTTCTGCACACGACACCAATCTCGTGTGACACCCAGTGATGCTAACGATATATTGTTGATGTACGTCTGCGTTCGTGGTTGTGGATTCATCGCTCACTGGCTACCGTTAAGTAACAGGGTTCACATATTGTGCCGATGCAGACTCATACCCAGGTCCTCGGTGTGACGAGCCAACCCTGTACCCACTGAAAGCTACCCCTACGGCAGTTACCAGAGGACCTGGAGCGTCCGACCATAAGATTGCGAGTTTGCAAGGATGCTGTCAAACAATGCACTGAAATTTCCATACAAATACATGATGTACCATTCTGTGTCCGTAATGTTCGACAAACTGTTTTAATGATTTGTCCCGATTTTCATTAGGACCTAAACGTGAGGCTGCCATGACGTCATCGTCATATATTTATACCATTGAAGTCAACGGGTTCAAAACGGGAGAGCAGAAGGTTGGTGGTTCGATCCCCTGGCCGCATAATACCAAAAGACTCTAAAAGATGGCATTTCTTGTTACCCTGCCTTGCGTCCGGCTTCAAGGGGATAAAATAATAATATCTCTGAGTGGAGTATCAATGCTAAACTGCAGCTTGGTATCTCAGAAGGCTAACACTAAAAACATGACATAAGTCCGCACAATACATGTTTCCACACGCGCACATCACTGTGAAGGGAAGTAATCTTGTACGCTACATTAAACCCCATTTCACCTCATCCCACAGTGAAATAGATGCATGGTTATGCATTAAATATATATAATTGACCACCACGACAAAGTTATATTCTACGATTGGCCGGGCACGGGCCACCCAGACGTTTAAGGTGCAATACACAGTGCAGAGGGTTCCGGAGACCCATGATCGTGGGTTCGAATCCGTGATACGTTCTGATATGTTTACATACCTGTGTTGGTAAACTACTGTTTAAAGTGGCGTAAAATCATACTGACTCACTTCTTAAAGTATGGAAGTATGAATCATTATGGATGTCAATAGAAGCCGTTTCTGAAATTACCAGTTGTCCAAAACAGAGCCTGCATTAACTTTAAAAATATATGCAGGGATCAAATTTCAGGTCTATCGACATTTTTTAATATCATGTAAAAGTAAAATTAAAAAATTAATGACCGTCCACCACACGTCTACCTCTTGGCAATACTGATTACTTCACAATACGATCGTGGGTTCGTGGGTTTCACAAACTTAACAAATGTCTCAGGTCTGCATCACTCCTGGCTCTCCTCCCACATGAAGATAACATGACGTTATATAACTGATATACTGTTCAAAGTGGCATAAAATCCATATGTTGATATAGATCAAATATCAGGTCAATCAACGTTTATTTTTATAATATGTCCCAGTAAAGTCAACACTTGTATGACCGTCTACGGGAAATAGAAGTCTAAAGACATATAATAAATGTTCACAAAACGCAATACATCGTTTCATTATGTCGTCACTTTGGGTTTGCAATGTTTCAAAATTTCTAGGTACTGACACACCCCACACAGGTTGACACAAAAACCAGCTCTGTCTGTACATCGCCTTCACGACCTCTCCCTCACACGACGACCCCTGGTTGTTCTGTAAACAAGCACCCCCTTTAGACTCCACCACATGTCTGCCTGGAGGAAGGTGAACCGACGTCTTGGCAGTCCTGATTACTTCACTCTGTTGATGGAGTTTGAGATAGAAACATGTACAGGTCTGGTATCGGAGATATGTTTAACACAAGTGTACGTTTATGTATCGTGTTCTGTTGATGTAGTTTGAGATACACACATGTACAGGTCTGGTATCGGAGATATGTTTAACACAAGAGTACCTTTATGTATCGTGTTCTGTTGATGGAGTTTGAGATACACACATGTACAGGTCTGGTATCGGAGATATGTTTAACACAAGAGTACCTTTATGTATCGTGTTCTGTTGATGGAGTTAGAGATACACACTTGAACAGGTCTGGTATCGGAGATATGTTTAACACAAGAGTACGTTTATGTATCGTGTTCTGTTGATGTAGTTTGAGATACACACATGTACAGGTCGGGTATCGGAGACATGTTTAACACAAGAGTACGTTTATGTATCGTGTTCTGTTGATGTAGTTTGAGAAACACACATGTACAGGTCTGGTATCGGAGATATGGTTAACACAACAGTGCGTTTATGTATCGTATTTATCTTTATCTTTATTTACTGTGAGACATGCATGTGTCTGAAAGAGCCTAAATTATATCTCGACATCCATAAGGCAACTTGTGGATAATCAGTATCATTCTGTTTTGGGCTTTTATGGATCCTTCCTAAAGATGACAGGAACCTGGGAGAGTTCTACAGACATATGTATGCCGCAAGTGGTCAGTGTTTACATGTAAACACCTTAATAACTCCTTTGCGACTGAGACAAACATACACGTGGCCATGTCCGTCTACGCACACCCCTCGAGAGTAGTTAATACCGTCCTGTTGTGTCAGTATGCTTCTGACAAACTGTCCTGACTCCGTCAGATGGATGACAATGTCAAGATAGTAGTCTGTCAACAGGATGTCACCTGTGCTGGTACTTGTGATACCCCGGGGAGACTTCAGTGTTATGTCTCCTGTAGGGCTGTAGTTGAACACCACATCTCCCTCGGGGGTCAGACACACGACACGCTTGGTTCCACCGTCAGACACCAGGATGTTCCCTGTCCTCGTGATACAGAGGTTGACGGGAATTTGTAAGATGTTGTTACCATTGTGGAGTAGACTGATTGACCTCAGCACGTTTCCTGTCATATCCAGGATGTCAACACAGGGAGGAGACTGGGAACTAGCTGCTAGTGTTGATGGTGTCAGGGGCGTTATGCCCAAGTACTGTTTGCTGGTTGTGATGGTTGACAGCAGCACCAGGTCACGGTTGACTTCTACTGTTACAATCTGTTTGATGTTCAGGACAGTGACGGCCACCCGGTTGTGTGTCAACTTTGTCAGATTCCATGGTTTACCACCCAGACTGAGTTTACTGTGGCGTGTCTGGTTATTCCTGGTGTAGAAAGACTTCACACTCTTGTTCGTCCAGTCTGTGACTACAACTGTATCTGTGTCATTCACCACCATCACTGTCACGTCACACGGGGATGGTCTGTTACTGTCGCCTGCTACTCTGACGCCAATTGTGTCGTGTAACACAGGAGTAGCCTTAAGGTCCAGCACACCCTCATACATGATGTCTATCTCTCCCAGCTGTAGATCGTCCAGAGATTTACTCAGCTTGTCCGTGTCCTGTCTGAATGTGACCTTGGTTATTTTTCCTCTCTCCTTCACATCTGCGTCTCCGTAAGCCTCCACATCACCAGCCTCACATCCCTGATACATCTCATACACATCCATGTCACACTCAGATTGTAGAGCCTGGTCTATCAGCTCAGCCTGTTGTTGGTACATCTGTACTGACATCTCACCTGACTTAATGTCTGCCGTTGTCCGATGTGTTTGTCTGATATCTCTCTCAGTTCATCCAGAAGTTTCTGTTCCTTGAGTTTTATCCTTTGTATTGCCTTCAGACTTGCAGACTTGATGTCGGATTCCGTCTGTGAATGTTGAAGTATTTCTTCTGCCATCACTGATTTCTTTTTCTGCACCTCTGTGTTTCGTTTGTGTCTTCTCCTTGACAATGTATCTTTGATCTTCACCAGCTCTGTCTTCACAGCCATCATTTCCGACTCGAGTGTGACGACCGAGTCACATTTCCTGTGGTAGATAGTGCAGCATGTCTGACAAACAGCTTTCTTACAATCTTTACACAGATATTTGATAGTTTCGTCCTTGTGCTTTTTACATGTCACCTTGTGTCTTCTTCTGACCTTGACCTCGCCGGAGAGGTCAATGACTTTGTGTTTCCGTAACGACGGGATGCGGTTGTGAGCTCCAGTACATTTGTCACAGAGTGCCTCATCACAGACCGAGCACCAAACAACAGCTGGAGTTGTCTCCCCTTCCTCTCTACAGTAGCTGCAGGAGGCTGTATCTGCAAATGTATATTAATCTTCAATGTGGTGTGTGTATTGAGAGGAGAAGAGGAGCCATCTAGATGTGGTGTATTTCAACCATTATTCTATTTTCACTACAATGTATTTTCTATGTTATTTGTTGAATCTACATCTGTCCAAGTTCTTCTCCAATATTCACACAGCTCATGTGAACTTGATGATATTGTTACTGCAGACATTGCCACCATGTAAGATGAGTATGTTACTACTATGAATTCATACTGTCAGAATTTCTGCAAATACACCAAAACCACCATGGACAAACGTGAAACAACAATAATAACAAGTATCACATTAAAACATACACCTTCCTGTGCAGAAATACGTATAGGTACAGTTCTCAGTTAAATTTACTTTTTGTATATCAAATCTCACTAAATTAGATTGCAGCCTGTTCAGAAACAACCACTATGGTACCTTTAGATGCCGGACCAAACAAGTCCAAGAGTCCCTGGATGATAAAGATTGGCTTGACGTCATCCGCCCACTCCTCCACTGGTCTCTCAGGAGCGGACACTTTCGTCATCTTGTTGCAGAATGGACAGACAAGGGACTTGGCACTGATGGCTTCTGGTCTAGTTTTGGTGTAGTTGACGACACATTTTCGACAGAAGCTGTGATTGCACACAAGTGTACAGGGATTATCAAACACCTCTGTGCATATTGTACAGGTCAGGAAATGTTCTGTTAGTTTCTGAGAGGTCGCCATCTGAAAGATTGGAAGAACATTTTACACAATACATATACCTTATAAATTAGCCTTCATTATATGAATATATATCCAAGTAGATTCACGTGATACGATTCTTGTTCAAAAGTGGTTTGATCAAGGTTACAACATATGACGTACAAATTTCGCTCATTGAACTCGCGAAATAACGTAGACTCTCGCTACACTACGACCCAACTTTTACGGCAGCATGTAGGTCTAGCCTCAAATCTTCTTATAGTCCTTCCTTGAACAATTTACTACTATCAAAAAACATGGTATGTAGCATGTAATGCATGACAAGAGGGATGACTTCAACTTTCCAATGGCCAAATTTCCCTTTTATGTCGAGCAATTCTTCAGTTGCTCAAGTTATACTTTAACATCGGATCTACTGTTCAGAAATCTACGGGTCAAAGCGGCGTTTAAACCCAACTCACTACTACTACTACTGCTGCTGTTACTACTACTACTACTACTACGACGACTGTTACTACTACTGCTGCTGCTACTACTATTGCTGCTGCTACTACTACTGCTGCTACTGCTGCTACTACTGCTGCTGCTACTAATACTACGACGACAACTTCTACCACTACTGCTGCTGCTACTACTACTACTGATGTTGTTGCTACTACTACGAGTGCTGCTACAGCTGCTACCTCTACTACTGCTATTACTACTACTACTACTACTACTACTGCGACTACTTTGCCTCTCTCAGAATAGATACAATTAATGACGCATGCTCTACTGTGAAACTTGATCGATCATGATCGTGAACCACCAACTCAAAAGAATCAATGTAGAGAAAAACCTAGACAGATGTTGTTCTCATTTCGCTGAGCTCCGTGACACATGGGATTGAGAAAATAATATACTTGTAGTTAAACAACTGGGCTTGAGAAAACAATATACTTGTAGTTAACAACTGGGATTGAGAAAACAATAAATAGTTAAATCATGCATACATTTCCGGGATTAAACCCCATTTGACACACTCTGATTCATTTTACAATAATGTACACAACATATATAAGTCGTCTAGGTATGATAATATCTGAACTTGAAACTTGAGGTTAGGTGCCACACTTCGCCGTGCGGGAGTTGTGTCCCTTATGTCGTATGATCGAAGGAATCCAAGTTTCATCCTGAGTGTGTTTCTAGGTTTGTCAACAACATACCCGTGATCGTGGGTTTGGTAAACGTCTAAAACATGTGTAACTTCAGGATTTCCTCCCACAGAAGCTGACATTTGCTAAAACTGTGATAATAGTGTCTACTGTCTCAGACTTTCAGTCTGAACCTCAGATGCAATCTACACCAAGGCGTGTCTGATGGTGATGTGGAAGCAAAATCAAGCATGTCGCTTGACGTTCTGCTCCCTCAACCTATTGCTTATACATCTGCCACAACTTGATCTCAAACCAGGAATCGTCCATGTTCTTAATGGGCAGTTTGGTGTCGATTCCTTAGATGCACCCACCGAATATGGTGTCTTGTTGAGGTGGCGTCACACGAGGACAACCGGCCCGTGACAAGTCATGGGTGTTGCCCTGCTGTAGAAAACATCTCTAAATAGGTGATATTGTGTTTCGATTGACACTAAAGTGTCTGACAACTTCGTTTTGCTTCATTCCTGTTTGCAGCATACACACAGAACGTGTAGACGGTGATTTTCAGCAAGGTGTGGCATTGCGTAAGTGTTATTTACGGATGAACAAAAGTGTTTTTATGACCACCCGATAGCTAAACAATCATAATAAGCTGTCAAAATTACCAAAAAATCACTTGTGTTAGTATTATTCTCCCAACAAACATAGAAACATCCCAACATGCACGTGCAAATTGAATCACGACCTTCATGAGTATGTGTTGAAAGATGCGATATTCAATTTCAGAATAAAACTATTTCTACGGAACCTGATGAAGCAGTTACTTTTTTCGTTAGCAAACATTCATCCATTACATTATAAAAATCTTGCATTCTGCTGGCGTAATAAGTAAAAAATATTTATTTGAAAGAACAGCTTTCTCAACCCCGACTTCCAGGCAATTTCAAACATTGTTTCTTTGTTGTTGTTTTCTTAACGACAGTCAGAAAAATATCCGAGTTATATCCTGGAGATCTATTAATTCTGGATCAGACAGTGGTTGATATCATGAGCAACGACGTCGGGGTACGGTGACGCATTCACTGAGTCTGACCACCAATTCCATTCAATCGCAAGTCACAATAAACATGGGTTGTTGGGGAACAGTTGTACCCGGAACCGCTGTGACGATGTCTATTCAACAGATAATCCCACAAAAAACAGCATTACCATAGGATGGTATACAGAGAGCTACATCTATTTCATGTCTACAGTATCAATTGAACTTGTCTGTGGGACCGTTACAACAGTCCAAGCAAAGCATCAGTGATAGATGATCTTTTACCTGATATATGAGTCATTTAGTATCAAGGTGATAATGATTTGTGCACAACAAACATACACCGATTAAACCCGATTGTGATTGATCTCGAATTTGACTTTCCAAACTTCTGTTTGGTTGCTGTTTAACACCGCACTCAGCAATATTCCAGATAAATGACAGCGGTCTGTAAATAATCCAGTCTGGAGCGGAGAATCCAGTGATTGATATCATGAGCATCGATCCACGCAAGTGGGATACGCTGACATACCTCAACCAAGTCAGCGAGCCTGACCACCCGATCCCATCCAAACTTCTGATAATATTAGTCATGTCACTCGTTATTACGTGTGCAGTGATTTCGTGTTCCCTCGTGGTGAATCTGAATGGAACTAATCAAGCATTGTTATCAATTAAGAGGTTTTGCACGAAGATTTGATTCCTGTAAATTCCATTTGATGCCGAAATTGTTCAGTTTTAAATACAGCAGGTTTCGGTTTGAACTCTTCACTTGGCCAAACAAATAGTTTCACAACATTACATGCACAAACAAACATTTCATGGTAGTATATACGTTCCCATGATATTTGTATTACCACTCAGACGTCGTGTTTCAACCAGAACAATGATTAACGCGCTGTCATGACCCAGTTATTCTATACCCATCACTGAAGTAGGAGAGGTTTAACTTCCGGGTTTGCCATGTACCCCACAAACATGTACACAGACACATCGCCACATTACATATACTACTGCAGTACTGTCACTGCTATCAAGAGGGCATGGCCTGGTGTAGTTGACAAGTGCTAAACTGCAGGCTTATATCAAGAAACGTGTTTACCCAATATGAAGTCAAATCAGGGTGTAATGTGTATAGCACATATCGGCGTCACTTCTAGATCGCATTTACATGAGAATGCACATTACAGACAGATCTAACACACTGAATACCCGGCACCAGTTAGTAAAACACGAGACAAATACACCTGCACACAACAGTACCTTGTGGGTGGCAAGATTCTTGGAAATGAAGTCCGAGAACTGTCTAAATATCTCGTGTTTAACGTGGACGTAATGACACACCTGAGCGATCTCCTCGGGCAGGACGGTGTCAATTGAGATTGTATACCCTGACAAAATATCCGTCTGTATCATAAGCATGTGTTTATGAATCATTATCAAATAGTGGTGATACCAGGTGTTAGCGAAAACATGTGCGTATCCTGCCTCACCAGTGGAACCCAATACAAACACGTATAAAGACAAGTCAAATGTTCACATGAAAAAACACGGCAACATTTGGTACATCTGAGTGTTTTCCACATGTCTATCATAAAACTTTTTGAAAGCTTTACCGAGGCCTTGAATTCTGTAACCTTAATCAAATCATTATTTAGGAAAAAAAAGCATGCTCGATTGTACCTCAAAGGTGTAGAAATGTAGAAACCAAGGCTGGAGCTAGAGGAATTCATCGAGTGGAAAACTGAAGTCACTCTGAATCTTTATGCATTGATATATAACAGATGAGGCGGTTTCGCTGTTCTCCTTTATGTCTTGGTCAGGTGGGTAAACAACTGGAAGGGAATTCGCCATTTAGTGGATATCGAATGATCTCATTTCATCTATATACCTCAAGTTTAATTTCTTGGACAAAAATCCGGACAGGAATTCCGATTAATATGCATGGCAAAATAGATCAACAAACAGGGAAGCACATTGCAATACAATTGGTGCCTACGTCCTATCTTAATGCCCAAACCCCAAGTTCACAAATTGTTTTCTAAACAAACTTTTGATGACTTTTAGTTTTTCACAAATTCTCATAAACATTTTTCAAATAGATATTTACCCACACCAAGTGACAAATGTCCTACTATTGTGTGGTGAAGTATATACAAAGTTGAAAAATAAAATGTTTTGACACAATTGAACATGGTTCTTTTCTGAGATTAAAAAAAAGAGCAAATCAGGGTGATACGAGTATGTCAGTACAGATGTACCAACAACTTGCGGAGCTGATAGACAAGGCTCTACAATCTGAGTGTGACATGGATGTGTATGAGATGTATCAGGAATGTGGTCGTTGAAGGTGAGAGAGGAAGAATAGTCAAGGTCATTTTCAAGACAAGACAGATCACAACACAACAACCTCCTGGGCGTCCTAGATGTCATGTATGAGGATGTGTTGGGCCTGAATACCACTCACGAGTTACACGACTCCATGGACGCCAGGTTGTCACACAGAGAGAGTGAAGCGGGACCTATGATGTGGCAGTGCTGGTGTGAACAGTTGTTGTCTCAGACTAACGTGCTGATGTCCATCAGTCCACTGCACAATGGTCGGGACATTTTAAAGTATCCCACTTTCCTATGCACAAGGACAGGGAACATCCTGGTGTCTGATGGGGAATCCAACTCGGTGATGTGTCTGACCCCCGGGGGAGATGTCGTGTTCAACTACAGACCTACAGGAGACGCGGCCATGGGGTGGCAGTGCGGTATAACGAGCACCAACACAGGCGACATCCTGGTTACAGACAACTTGCAGCGCAGAGTTCTACGTCTGACTGAAACGGGTCAGTTTG